TCCATGCTTCAGGAATTTCAATTCCACTATCCCTGTTGATGTTGTTAGGGTGAAGTCTTATGTGAATAGCTTCCTTGACCCTACGTGTGTACCAGTGAGTGTACATAAGACTTCACCCTAACAACATCAAATCTCAGTGACTACATCGTGAGACAAACGATAATACACTTTATTATTGCATCTACCACGATGAATAACAACAACCTTTTCCTCGATATCCTTATTGTTGCTTATAAATACGTAACACAATGAAAATGTATCAATAAAACAGAAACAGAGACCATCCACGCGCGGTACCGGTCAAGTTTCGTGACCTTTTACAATGAAAAAATGGGTTTTTCTGTACACTGTTCGTCAGTTGTTGATTAACTGGCCGTTGTCGAGAGATTACTTTGGCAGTTGGGACTGAGCGGAGTGCAAGCGCGACACACGAGCGCGTAGGACTCGGGCGAGTATGGAGTGCGACAAATTCGGTCTTACGCTCTGCTCCGTAAAACCCGGCCTGTTCTACAGGTTAGATTATTTGATCCGTTAATGCATTGAGAATTGCCTGACTTTCTTTCTTACAGGTGATGTTTCTACAGACTTTGGGACAGGGAGTACAGATACCGAGGTTTGCTTATTGTTTTTGGGTTGATTAATATAGATACAGCTGACATATGTGATTTTTGTTTTATGGAAAAACCTTCATTTTTGATTCGGAATTAAGCCCGAAGATGAACGAACAACCTTAAAGCATGATACATTAGTGCTTAGAATATAGTCCTAACTACTTGCTAACTCATGAAATCTCTTTCGAGCCTCGTAGCTCCTCAGCTCAGCGGTTTGGAAACTCCGTCTTGAGATTAGTAACTGCATGAATTGATGCTTTATTTCTACGGTTAGGCCTGCCGTCTACACTAATCCGTCACGAAAACGGAGCTTTTCGAAAACACTCTTTAAACTGGAGGAATTTGACAACGCCGGCTTTGAGTTTTAGTGTAGACGGAAAACCTTTTGAGGACGGAGCTTTTCGAAAACGATGACGTCACGATAATCACGTGATTTCCCTGCCCAAGTTTTCCTCAAAAACACAAATCCAAAATGACCGGTGATTGTTGCGTTTTTAAATTTCTCCGGCGTATTGTGGACGGAAAACATTTGATGCGTTTTCAGAGTGAAACCACCGTTTTCAAATTCCTCCGGCGTAGTGTGGACGGAAAACATTCGATGCGTTTTCGAAGTGAAAACGCCGTTTCCAAATCCCTCCAGCGTAGTGCGAGCGGAGCGTCAGTCATTACTTCCCACGCTCAAAAGAAACGTTAATTTACTAATATCGCTGCAAATCTTTTTTCCAGGCTCGAGAAAAATTTGAAGTTAGTGACGACATCAAAAGACTTAATCCGAGTGACGTTGCAAATGCTGTTGTTTACGCTGTGACGCAACCAGCCCACTGTGCCGTGAATGAAATATTGGTAGAACCTACAGATGCACCTTGCTAGGGGAGGTCCTCACAATTCAGATACCTCAGGACTGGAATGTATTCCAAACTTGTGTTACCTAAAAAAATTATTGCGTTTTCCCTTTTTGGCGATTTGAACCTAGCATTATATTAGGAGATTTGTTTCATTGTCGTTAGGATCCATTTCTAAGTGCAGTTTGGAGGGCAGTCTTGTAGTTTTATCAAGTCACGTTAACTGTCCCCTAGTCCCACCGGTTTTGTCTTTTCGACTGAAGCAAACTTGAGCCATGAACCCGCAGAGTCGACACGGCGCCGCTTGATAAATATTTAGAGAAAAAAACAATGGAAAACCTTTGGTACCGAGGGTGTATGAGGCAGGAAAGAGAAGATGCCATTCACAGAACGTATTCAAGCATTGTCTTCATTGCATCGCGCTTGTCGAAGTTTAGGTCTTTTTGCTTCTGTCTGATACGAGTGTTATTTACCTGTCAGGTAGAGTTTTGATTTTAAATCCTCTTTTAGAATTCAAATGATTCGTGGATTATGATATTTTACAGTATAGTTTTTTTTTTTTTAACTTTATCTTTTGAAATTTTTGCCCCCCACCCCTCCAAAGAAATATATATATATATATATATATATATATATATATATATATATATATATATATATATATATATATA